CTTCCCACCAGGGAGTGTGTGGGGGGGTACTCATGGTCTTCGTCCATCCGGTAGTCGTTAGCCCCTGGCCCTCGCATCCTTTCAAAGCCGGGAGGGAGCAGGCCGCTTTTTCACCGGCCCACCCTCGGGGGGGGGGGGGGGGGGGGAGATACTCATGTTTTGCATTCCTTAGCGGTTACATCATTGGCCACGCGTCGCCTACCGAGGCTACGTTTCAAAAGGACGAACCAGGGGTGGGGGGGGTCTTGTATGCATGGATTGATGCGTAGATTCCGGTTGTCTGGACTCGATCGAGCTCTCTCTCCCGGCATGTTTCCGTCAAATATTCACATTTCGTGCAATCGCCCGGTTCACACAACTCTCTTCTTCTTTTATTGCCCACGCTTTCTCCCCTGCTGCTTCCGCTTCCTTTGGAACAGGGCCCCTTCTGCTTAAGCGTCAAGTCGTCCGTTTCGAGTCGGCGCCGCCAGCATTGTCTTGGTTCTCCCCCAAGACTGTTTTGTTGCTGGACAGGGGCTGCAAAGCACGCGCACCTTTTAAAATAATTTCCAACGTGTGATGACGGGGGCCATTGGAGAGGACAGAACGGGGTGCACGAGTCTACGAAAGACTTGGAACGGCATGACCTTTCTGGCCTGGGTATTTATGTCCCTTTTCTTTTGTGTTTTTTAGATGGTTGCCCCGTTCGGATCCCCCCCCCCGCACCCCGTCCCCCGCTCACTTCGCAGGGGCTAGCGCGCCTCCCTGGTGCTGCACCTGTGTGCAACTTTTACTTTTTACGATCCGTAGCGTTGTTGGCGGCTGGCTGGCACTGCTCTTCCAGCGTCAAGTCGTCTTAAACGTCAAAGTATTGGGGAACAAGAGAAGTAGAACCGTGGCGTTGTCGGCGTTCTATTTGTCTTTTCCCTCCCCCTCCCATGTTATTTGAACATGCCCGTAGGTCGGCCATATCGTTGCTGTGATTAGCCAAGAACTCGCGCGCGCGCTAGTTCTACGTTCGATTATTGCTCCTACGGGGTGGAGGGCCGCAGTTTGTTTTTGGATGTAAGTTGAGTCACACTCGACAGGCACAATTTTCGAGGTTGTGTGTCTGTTTTTTGCATCGGATATTCCTCTTTTCGGTATAAAGTAGACGGGTGCGTCTCTCACGCTCCCGGTCTTATCTCGTGGGGAAAGAAAGGCGGTTGCGTCGAGATTTGTTGGGTCTTTTTGCGGTGCGAGTTGTGTATGTGTATGTGATACTCTGCTATTGAGATTGGGAAGCGGCCTTGACCGCGTGTGTTGCTACGTGGTAGTGACCTTGGTCGGATCAGTTGAGGCAGCTATGGGGTCGAAAGATGGTTTGCCTCTTTCGGCCGTTGGTTAGCACGAGTGTCGTCGTACGTGTTGCATCGGTGACGTTACGCCCCCGTCAGTGTATTTTAGAAGAGAGGAATACTTGGTACATTGTAAGTAGGAAATTCTCCGCCTTTTACCTACTCTTTCCGGTATTTGAGGGTTTGGAATGGGAGTGGAAGGCTTGCTCTAGAGATCACAGGAGGTTTAAGGAATATCACGGGACCGAAAAATAATATCACATGATTGGACCCGAGGGGTAGTCGTTCGACAGCGTTTGTACGTCGTCAGCGACACCTTGCGAGAAGGATTCATGGTTGACGCCCGCCGGTAGCGCTGTCCCATCATTTTCCACGTCTCCTCATTCATCGAAAGTCAAAAGGTTCTCGACAGCTCGTCATCTAATTGGCGATTGCACGACTGACTGCGAGAAATTCACGTCTGTGCACCGAACAAACATTTGAGAGATTTACGCTCAGCAATGTATGTATGTATGCATATTATGTAATCGACCTTGCTTGGTCTCGAGTTACAACAACGAATGTCCGTCGTGTGTTGCACCCTCAAGTTTCTCCGCAGAGGCCAGTCCTTTTCCGAAGGACCTGACCGAGAAATATATGATGCCTCCGAGTTATTCACGAGGTGGACCGAGCTCGCCGAAAAGTTGTCATCGTGAAGACCGGATGTATGTACAAAGCGTGGTAATGTAAGGGAGATCTGCACCAAACAGCCACAGCAGGCGAGACGGCAAGCAACCAACAAGGGAGAGTCACTGTAGGCTTCATGGATTGCCGTGCGTGTATATAAGTCTCACGCCATCACACAGACAGCGGGCCTAACCGAGCTCTGGAGACTGATTTATTTGTTCAATAGGATGTACCTAATACCTGCTGACGACGACGTCAGCGCCACACGGGCTACCTTCTTATCCATCCTTCGATTGACTTTGTACAACTCCGTCGTCGTCATAGACAGATAAACGACGTTTGTTTGAAAACAAACGCTTGCATGCATATTATTATTATTTTATTTTATTTTTTCTTAATATGACACAACGAAACCATCTCTATCATAGAAAAGAGTCTGAGACAGATTAGCAATGGATTCATAGCGTCAGAAAGTACCTGTAAGTCTACGATTTCCCAGACAGCAGATAGGGACATCTCCCCTGCGGGTAACAGGCTCAACAAGACAGTTTGTTTGGTAGCTGTCTTGTGTGTCTCATATATGTTATGTTGGGAAGGTGCAGATGATATGTGTTAGGTACTGGTCGGGCGTTTTGTGTGTGACACCCTTTTCATCGTAGGGCATGCAATCTCCCTCAGTTTACAAACGTATTTTCAATGTGGTATGCGTATAGTATGTACCGGGTATTTGGGTAGTATATGTGTGGATACATTTCGGAGTATGTGCGGACACACGGGCGTGGTCTCATCATTTTCTTACCTTAGCAATATTGACGCACCATGGACGACCTAACTTCTACTGCAGGTTTTTTTTTGTGTATTTGGATGTACATTTATTTCTCCTCTTTGTATGTATCATTTTTATTTTATTAGAATCGTTTCTAACTTCTAACAGACTAGCAAGTTGTCACAAAGACACTTGCTGCGCCGTGTTCCCTGTGAAAGTTACATTTTACAACACACGACATGACGGAGGGATTCTTCCCGATATTTTTATCGTTGACCCAGTAGAGAACTACATACAGGGGATGGATGTATGTATGTATTGAAAAATGTAGGCTACCTTTACAGATGTTTTTGTACTTAGCACCAGCTGGTATCACTGATATAAACCATGAGTATATAGACTTAAATAGACTCGAAATAAGTCCAGTACCCTGCCGGTTTTTCCCCCTCCCACTGAAAAGACTCCACCACATCCCGTTCGAACATGGATAATCTCGAACGAACGGTAGTCTTTCTGTCTGTGTGTGTTTTTATTTTTCCTAAGATAATACGACCACCACGGTGACGCCCACAACGACCATACATAGAATAACATACGTCTGTAGTCTACCTTTTGAACATTCAACAGGCCACAGCGCAAGCGTCACGTGTATTTCTGACTAAATCTGTATCTATATTGGGGTTGGGTCGCCGCCGTCGATCGCGCCGCCTTCTTCGCGTCGTCGTTCGTCGCCGTTGGGTTGGGTAGGGTTGGGCAGGTTTGGGTAGGGTAGGGTAGGGTTGGGTTGGGTCGGTCGGTCGATCGATCGGGCGGCGTTGGGCCGCCTTCTTCGATCGCGCCGCCGTCGCTCCATCGATCGTCGCCGTCGATCGCCCTTCCTTGTATTATTATTGCTAACCTGTCTCAGACTCTTTTCTATGATGATAGAGATGGTTTCATTGTGTCATGTTAAGAAAAACGTAAGAAAAAAACAAAAAAAGGTCCCAAGGTCCCCAGGCACGAACCACCTTAGGCATGGTAACGTCGACACCACGCACAAACATCATCAACAGAGAGAAGAGGGCAAGGCTCGTATGTACATCTCATAGACAGGTGCTTCACCCTCTGCTACTCTGCTGCTCTGCTGTAGGTCGACACAGGTCGTACCGGCACCGCCGGTGGCGAAGTAGACAAGTAGAAAGTAGACTATGGGTCTATGCGGCGCAAATACAAATTTACCCGAACCGGCACATCATTTATCTACGTATGTTCATCCCTACTCCATTAGACTACCCATATCACCCTCCAATAAGTAGCGGGTGGGGTCTTCCACCCGATAGCTGACTACAGCAGTCAATGAGCGTGATCATCGTTTGCGTAAATGTAATATTATTGTGGTCCTACAGAAAGACGAAGATACCTTGATCAATAAACCCATCAGGCCAACAGCCCACCGAATCGACACCAAAACCGGCACTGCTGTAACTTCACCTATATCCACATATCCACCGACGCAATCTAGGAGTCGTTGTAGGAACATCTGGGCATACGCCAAGGCATTACCTTACATGCACTGCTGCTGCTTGGCGCAAAGGAGTACGATGACACTCTATGGGAGTACATGCATGGCACGAGTTCTACGAGAACACAATGATGCCGACGATCGATATCTTGCGAGGGACGGAGTCGTACGGACGCTTCTCCGACCTCCCGCATGGACGACAGCGTGTGCTTGGAAAGCAGCAGGCGTGCCAAGAGATGACTGGGACAATGAAAAGAGCTCCATGGTGAGGAGACAGGCCTGCGTGGTGAATCTGCTGCGCGATTTTGGCTGTAAGACAGGGTACTCAAGATGTCGTTGAAGAGGATTGCCAGGCCGAAGCATTGTGAGTCTTCGTGTATCACAGCAGAACATGCTGAGAGTCACCCGTAGTGCTACCGACACGCACTAGACTGGCTGTGTTACTACATATCGCTCGTATATTGGACTGACCGACTATTCCCTACCTTGGAACGCTCGTTTCAACCTGTTTGTGCACCGGTCTCTACAATGTGTGTGTGCCCTACGCTTGCCTCTGCCGTGTTACTGCTGTAGTTCTCGGGGCAGACGCATGTATAAAGTACTGGTAGTCTACAGTGTAGGTAGAGAGTCCGATTTGTAGGTTTTTCGCAACTTCGTACGAGCTGTGTCGTGAACTGTAGTACAGTTGCAGTGGTCAGTGCATACCGAAACGACGAGCCCCCTGCTACTCGAGCACCGACTGAGAGCGTTCGTTTCCCATCAGTTCATACTTGTAATGCAATCTATGTACACAACATGTACGGTAGTCTAGACTAGACAAATGGCTGTGCCATCGTCGGGGAAGTCATGCTATTTCTCGACCATCATGATGCTGTCTTCGCATGTTCAAACCCTGAAACTAACAAGAGACAATAAAGTCTATTGCTTGTTTCTCAAAACTGGAGGCGAGTCAAGACGTAGATTGTTACGAAACAAGCATGTTTGTGTAACTAGAACGCAGGCTGGTTTTTGACGGGTGGCCTGCGAGTACCAAATGAAAAAGACGCGTAAGTCTAGCACACAATTTCACACCCACGCCCTCCACTTGCTGCCGCCGGTGAACATCTGCTTATTCCGCTTCACGTACTTGTACACGGCTCGAGAGCAGACATTTACCTGCTCCAGTCACAATCGGAGGAGGTCGTCGTACCCAACCCCGAACTTCATGGCCAGCCTTCGCCTCGCGAGGGCCGGTGCGATCAACCAGGGGGTGTTCGTGTCCGGGTCTCTGAGTAACGACGGGCACGCTCGGGTAGATGCCTTCGTCGACCGCTGGCACTGCAGGCGCTCGGCGGAAAGATCGGGGCTTATCCTCGCGGCGGTACTTGAACATCTAGCCTGGAGCGTAAGGTAAGGGGGGAGGTCCTCTCCTCCACACAGTCCTTGGGCATGCAGATAGGGAATGGGAGAGGCGCGGGAGAGGTCTATCTGCAAGGTTCCACGTGCCGTTTTCGCGGACGTGTGTGTGTTTCAATGTAGCGTGCCTGAATGAATCAAGTTTTTCATGCTGAAAGAGAAGGCATGCCACACTCATTCAACCTCATGCTAAAAGTTGGCATGGCGCACCGGTTTGCAATCTAGGATCGCAACACGGCCTACGAAGTAATGAGCCGCATCTACTGCAGATGCCCAAAACCGTTAGGTATCCATTGCACTCTCAATAAGACTACATGTGTTGATCCATTGTTCGCGAAACTGCTCAACAACGGTGGTACAGCCCGCCTCCGTAGGGGCGGTACGCTGAAGTGCACATTCACATATCTACCAGGCATGCACTCAAATACACTAAATGTAGAAGCAAAGGCACAACGTGCCACGGCTTACCCTTTCTGCTCATGTCGTTTTCTCTGTATTTCGGCTCCGCCAACCATTATTTTCAGGACTCGACTCCTCGCCGGCTACCTCGACCGCTGGAGGAGTAACCGCGCCCCGCTGCCCCGCACGCTCCTCCGGCCCAAGACCTTCCTTCTAGTCGACACGCGCCGCCGAGACAACCTGCACAAGGCCCTGACGGCGTGGGGCCTGCTGACCCGTCAGCTGTACGCTGAACGAGCGCTGGCGCGGCGGAAAGGTGCCCGTGTCGCCCGCCAGCTGGGGCGGCGGGAGGCGAAGTTGAGGGCGGCCGGCTTTTCGAGGTGGATCGACGCTACTCTGGAACGGAGGGATGAAGAGCGTCGGCGGGTTGGGTGCTTCGAGCGGTGGAAGATCTTCGTGCTCCTTTGTCAGGTGGGTGGGCGTGGGGCTTTGGGTTGGGAAGCGTATATACCTGTTGGTTGAGGTGGCGCAGGCATGCTTGAAGGTGCAGGGAAAAGCGGGACATTCTTTTTTCGCATGGATGAGCGTAGTGTGTACTAGCACGACTTGATTGTCGCATCCTTGCAAGATCGGGAACGGAGCGAACGCCGAGTTTCGTCTTGCCGACCAAGCAGGCGTTTTTCTTGTCAAGAACTAAGGACACGCACCGTATTGTGGGCGGCAAGTCGCAGGAAGCGCTCGACAAACCGCGTGTAAGGGGAGGAAATTCTTGCACCTGGTGCCTGCATCTCCTCGACCCTGTGCTAGCTTCGGCTGCCGGATTAGAGTCCTTGCTGAGCCTAGAACCATCCCCCTGCGACCTTCACTTGCCGTACAACGCGATCTAGCGCGTTTCGCTTAGGTGTGCTTATTGTATTATCTCACCTCGTCGAATCCAACAGGTGTCGAGGGTAGGAAACAGGCGTAGAGAGAGGTAAGGTTTGGCGGTAGTGGAGTTTGGACATGTGTGTGCTGCAAGCAGTGCCTTCGGGTAGACTACCCGAAAAACGACTCTCGACGAGAAGTGTCCCGATAGTTACCACGTCTCCACACCGCCTACCTCCTACCTACTCGTCTTCAACGCGACGTTGCAACCCGCCCCATCTAACGGTTGTGTTTCACTGACTGTTAATCACGTTCTGACGATAACAACACCGTCAAGCACAATTCAAGCTGGGGGGTCGAGCGCGCTATGCGTGTTCTCCACCGCGCGTGGCTGCAGCACTTGGCTTTCCACCGCCTCTTGGCCTGGCGCGCTGAGCGGGTGGCGGCGCGGGCGTTGCGCGACGCGTTTTCCGCGACCCTGTTGCGGGGCGCCTGGGTGGCGTGGCGGTTCACGGTTGCGCTCGATAACCGAGACAGGATGGCTCGACAAGCGTGGTACGTGAGCGAGGCACCAAACCCATCTATTGTTAACATTTCGTATACAACCTAGTAACATAATGAGGACGTGTGAAAGTCAAAGGCTACGGACTGTCGGCATTTGTTTCTGTTCGTCTCCATAACAACTTTCCGGTTGCTATGTTTGTGGGAAACGCAATAGACCCACTACTACGCTACTATTGCCACCATCACCTTGCTGAAAAACAAACGGAACGGCTGTCGTTCGGCATCCAGGTACTCTCTAGCGGCAAACTTGGAGGAAGGGCGACGCAAGAAAACTGCCGCTTCGGCGCACTACCGTAGGACCCTCCTTGGAAAGAAGATCCTCCTCTGGAATGAAGAGTCGAAGCGGCAGCACTTCCTGCGGACGACCTTGCGGAGGTAGGTGCAACAGGCGTGCAAAAAGGCTCGTTGTTTCACTGCCTCGAATGGCGGAAATGACGGTGTTGTGTGTGTTCGTTTCGGCTAGGGTACTCGACGAAGGCAAGCATCCTGGGAACCAAATGCGACCAAGACGAGGTCGCCGGTTTTTCTCTGGCAATATTTATCGTAATAAGTCGAGCTTACATCACGTACATGACGCAAAAAATGTGAACCATACCATTGAAACCGTGCAGATATGTACCCGAATCAGGTTATCATGAACGCTATGACACGCGGCATTTTTGTTAACTCCTGGTACGGCACGTCGAAACGAAAGGAGCGCCCACCACCCTACAGCACTGGGTGAAAGAAGAGGGGCGGGTCTCCGTCGACGAAGCTGCTAACACGGCCAGTAGAACCATCACACCACCACCACCGATTAATTGGTGTTTCGATGCCCGCCTGCAGATGGGCAAGGCATGTGGCCCTCACGAGGGAGAGGGACAGGGCCCGAGCAGCTACGGTGATGCGACTCTGGGGCGCACATGCGCTGGACTTGCAAGACCAAGCGTTTCGCCGCTGGAAGCAGGCTGAAGTTGCCGGCAATCCCTCTCCAAGTCCATCTTCGAGCGCGGCATGTACGTGCGCTCGGTGGTGCCGCCAGAGAGTTCTGCCTGGCACACACTGACATAATATGTTAGTGTTCCGCTACTACTGCTGCACATCGCTGAAATCGACTCTCACGCCACCATTCGAAATGTCTCTTTCGTATTTCTTGCAACGCCACGCTGTCAAAGAGTTGAATGATTTCTTCAATCATTTGTAACGAAGAGCCGATTCATAGTACAAGTTGAGTAATTTTCGCAACAAGTCAAACCATTTCTGAAACTGTACGTCACCCGCACGCGTGAAATCAACATGTAACCATCCCAGGCCCATCACCGCGCCCGAGTCCCACCACTTGTCGGTGCGTACGGTGCCTGCGAAAGTACGGTCACATGGGAGGGCATGCCAACAAACCCCGATCGAGGTCAGCCAGGTACAGTAACCCAAACGTTCAGAGCACACTCATATCTGTTGAGTGTATCAATTGGCGCTTATTATTTTGAGGGGTTGTGGGAAGGTGCGGGACAGTGATGTGGTACTGAGAGGAGTCGGTCTGATGCTTGAAAGGAGAATTAGCGAGGTGAAACAGGCGAGGTGACTGGCGGCACCCTTCCTTCGGGTGGGTTAAAAAAACTGCTGGACCTCGCTGCCCCTGTCTACAACGCCAAAGAGCTTGGAGGTTTGTTTGTAACCCACAAGTCAATTACAACGACGTCATGTTGGAGTCCGTGTTACGCTCTTTGTTGCGAATATGCAGTACGCCAACTTCCTCGCGGCCTCCCCCATCTCCTCATCCCGGATGCCCTCTCGCGAAAACCAAAACTGAAGAAGCAGAGCGGAGATGATAGTAGTGACGGAGTCAAGGTGCGACGTGAACGGGCACCTCGACCTCCAGCTCAGGTCGGCGAGGCGGACGATAGACAGGGCCCTGCGGAGGCTGCGGCTACAACGAACTAGCAACAATCGCATCAGAGCACAAGGGATTGCTCTACTTCCTCGCGGAGAATGACAAAGGCGAGCCCAGGGGGGCCAAGCAGATGTAGCGGCCGTGTCATTGTGGTGCCCAGCTCCAAGAAAGCCTGGAGACAGAAGGAAGAACACGCTCCGAGTGGGAGAGCTCCGGCCAGGATAGGGGGTAGGGTATACGAGGAATGTGGACAGGTTTCAAAAAAGAGGGGTGTACCCGCCATAAACAAAAGTACCTGTTTACTGTGGCTGAAAACCGCTAGCTGAGCATTACTGAGGGGAAGGGGGGGAGTGCTTCAGAGGGCACGACCATGACGTGTCATGCGTGGCGTCGGGCGCTGCCGGTGGGACAAGCCGATTCAAGGGGAACATAACTCACCGCACCACCCAGGTCAATGCGCGCGTTCTTGAAGGCCACTGCAAGCAAGGAAACGGTGGGCAACCTGGCCGGCAAGCCGTGGCCTGTTGGCCCAATACTCCGTGCAACACTGTGTGGCGCCAGAGGTTCATCACTTCCGACATTTTCGTTACCACGTAAATCCAGTTGGCTAAGTCTCGTTTTTTGGCAGCACCATCGACCTGCTCGGAGTTGGCAATCACTTCTGGGCAATAGGCTACAATAGTGCTAATGAGACCCACTCGTTCTAGACCACCGTGCGGGTACGTACTCTCTTCAACAAAGGAACGGGGTGTCACACTCCACGAGCACTACGACGTCTTCCTCCACAAATCAGGTACTGCTTTAGGTCGGCCTCCCCCCCCCGCTCGTGAGCCCAACAGCCTTTACTTTCCGAAGCTCCCTCGTCTTCCAATAACACGAGTGGGTGGGGTCGTCTGCTACACAAAGCCACGCCATATTCGCCTCACGGCCTTCGACATCACCAGCAAGGCCCAGGTGTTTCTCTTGACAAACGACTTTGTCCGCCAAAACTCATGGCACGGATGTAAATAGCAACGTCTGCGGCGGTGGCTGGCATCGCCATCATCGCGACCGCGTCACAAAACCCCACACGTCGCCCACCGCCCATGAGGGCGCTCTCGTGCGTTGAAGGTGAAAAAACCGCAGACAATGCTACAATAGTTCTTCATCGTCGAAAGTTGATTGTCCTGCACACGTCGTGCCAGATCGTTGGGAGGAGCGCATACATACCCATCCGCAGACAGTTGGTGCAGCGGCAGCAACAGCAGCAGTTACTACCGTCTGGCTGCTGTGCGTTGTGTGACAACTTCAGCAGCAGAGAACTCTCCTGGAATATACGTCATTTCCAGCACGTGTAGCGTAGATCTTACTATGCTTCTCTCCGGAGACAAAAAAACGTCCTTAAACGCGACAAGTGAAGTGTCCCTACGGTAAGATTGTCATAAGAACCGCGGACCGCTGTGCCTCTCGTACTGCTGACTCTAGATACATGGCTTCGTAGACATAGCCATCATTCAGATGGCGACGCGCACCGATGGGCCCTGTATGATATCTCTACATAATATTCATTGCCCAATTGATACATGATGAGGCGATATTGTTGTATGCGGGAAAAAAAACGTCAACCGACGGGTTCAATCCGTGGCCGGGTCGAAGAGCTGTATGCACCCGTAGCGGCCGTTCACCATCCAGTCGTCGTGACTTCGGGCGGCGCGCTCGGTCCCTTCTTTCTCCATCCCGCACCTGCATCGGCCGCGGCAGTCGCGGAGCCCCCCCCCCGCCCCCGGCGCGTGCGCATTTGTTTGGAAATGATGCGTCACAAAAGAGCGCATGTTGTGGGAAATTATCCGTCACACAAGAACAAGGGTCAGATTTCTCCCTTCAGTTAAAGAGGCTTGGGTTGAGATGCTACTACAGTTCAACGGCAGTGTGATCCACCCGAACCGCGTCTCTAGGACAAAAGTTACAACGGTAGATCACTCGGCGTCATAGACAAGGCAATAACTGCACCATCGGCCCTGTGACTGACGGGCGTCAACTTTTGCTGAAGGTGCCGATGAGTGAGCAGCTCAAACGACGACAACCACAACAACAACAAATCGACGGATGGGTCTCTTCTTGCTCACCCCAGCTCCGCCTTCAGCGTCCTCAGCGCGCACAGTCTTGTGGGGAAGTAGCCCGCCACGTCCGAGAACGGCGTGTCCGTGGGCCACCTTCTGTCCCCGATCAAGCGCCGGTAGTTGGCGTCCCCCTTCACAAACACCATCGAGCTCTCGTCTCGTAAATCCTTACAATATCGTTAAGGAACAGCGGCGGCGGCAGAGGTAATTAGCGGCAGCGGCAGGAGCAGGGGCAGCAAGCCGCGACAGCATTCTGTACAGTTTGACTACCAACGCATGCGGGTGTACAGTGTACAGTGGGAGGGAGATGAAAGGAGGGAATGATTGCGGAGGCGTAGAATGGAAAACCAGGCCGCTTGAATGAAGGGAGCCATTGCAAGCCCCCCCGGGGCCCCGACGCCCCTTCCCTACGCAGAGCAGGTTAAACGTGTAGCCGCCGCACAAGACCAATAGACCACGGCCTCGCCGATCGCCCTCGCCATCTGGGACATTCTCATCTCCAGCGATCCCCCTTTCCCCTTGGCCGAAAAAATCACAGCCACCCCCGCCGTCCCGTTCCACTTCCTACCTTACACAGCCTGTAAAAAATATGGTATGAGGTGACCCCGGCCGGTGCATCCAGAATTTTCACCGAAAGGTGCAAGGATCGACGACCAGAAGAAATGGGATGGAAAAAAAAAAAAAACTAATGCCGGCCATGCACCTGTTGAGCTCCGTTTTCGTGCCTCGGTATTACTGCTGTTGTTTCTTTTCTGTCTGTTTTGTCTTTTCGGGAGGTGTACGCCGCTCGTGGACAAAAGAACGCAAGCGCTACGTCACACGCTCTTTTTTCGAATCAAAAACAAACAAAACCCCTGTTGTACACCATCACGCCAAAAAAATAAACAAAGCAAACACTGACCTTTCGGATTCGCGCGGGCATCTCCCACAGCGGCCTCGGCTGCGCCCAGAAGAAGTCTTCCCGTAGCTCCCACTTCCCGTCAGCGATCAGCTTCTTCCACCTCTCCCCTACCGCCTTCGCACTGGTCATTGTCAAAACAACGCGACGACGACGAAGAAGAAAGGTTACTTGCTGCTGCTCGCAATATGTTTCTCTTTCCGGCCGCTTGTATCGGAGCAAAAAAAAGGCAAACTTCAGACACAAGTCGTTGAGGTTGGCGTGACAGCTGGCACGACGTGAAACCAAAAACAACAACACTGCAACAGCTACTAACATGAAACCAACAATTCCGCAAGCTTCAATATTACACCATCAAAGGGACCCAGCTTCCGCATGAAGGCCACCAAGACTCTTGTACAGTACCTGTTCCGTCATGTATTATTCCACGGACCGTTGCGGCAAATCAAACCGAGGGGGGGCTAAACTTCGTAGTCGCAGTTGCCGTTTGAGGTCAATGAACGAGAGCGCTACGTGCTATTTATTTGCCGTGCCTCCGGTACCTGTGCCTGTCTGTCTTTTTGTTTGTCTGTCTGTCTGTCTGTCTGTCTTTTTGTTTGTCTGTCTGTCTGTCTCGTCTTCTCACCTGGGGTACTCGGATGAGTCGAGGTCCGCCAGGAGGTCAATCATGGCCATCATGTCCTTGGCCATGGCGTCGGACACGAAGGTCGGGTGTCCCTTGAGCTGGATCACCACGCGGCTGGCGGCGCCCCCCGTGGCCAGGCAGTCCGCCAGGCACAGGTCGCAGAACAGCTCGAACCCTAAACAATTATAGTGAATATCGTACGTAGATACAATGTGGTGGGTACGCAAGTACAGCACGTGTTGCGAGGTCGTCGTCGTCGTCACATGGAATCTCGGGGTATTAGTGATACTGACCGACGCCTTTCGGTGCAATGTGACGGGATAACTGGAATGGTGCAGTACAACTGCGTGCGTCGCTGGGGTGTTCTTGTCTGGGTGGCCGCTAGTCATAGGGGGGGGGAGGTACTCTTACTCTTACTCTTACTCTTATGTTTTGCATGCCTTAGCGGTTAGACCATTGACCACGAGTCCTCGACAGGAAGGAGCACTGTTCCCACAGGACCGATCACCGATGGCGCTAGCCATAGGGGGGCCCTGCAGATGAAACCAGCAGGACTGGTCCATGCTCCGGCGGGTGTGCCTACAAAAGCGACGACTTTTCCATGACTCCAGCAGCCACGTGGATCAAAAACGACACCAAGCCCTCAGCAACACAACCGTCAAAAGCGGAGATCAAGCACCTGGGAGCCAAGATCACAGAGACGACGGGCTCCATCGTCAGCTCATTGTTGCCGCTGTTCACATGTCGCGAGAAAAAAAAATCCAAAACACAAGAGCCTTCCTTACCCGCGTTGTCGACGACGATGTCTATCCGCTCTCCTCCCCTCTCCCGGCACGCCACGAGTGCCTCCGCGACCCTGTCCGCGTCGTCCGCTAGGAGGTTCTCGGAGCTCGACTCGAGCACCTGAGAGAAGACGTCCCCTCTCCCTGCGGAGGTCGCCCCGTCTGCGCAAGGCAACAACAGCACGACGGTGGTGACGACAGCAGCACAACGGTGGTGGCGACAACAACACGACGGTGGTGGCGACAACAACACAGCGGTGGTGGCGACAGCAGCAGCACGAGCACAAGCACCAGCAGGAGTAGCAGCAGCGCACCATCACCCCCGGCAACAAAAGTTACGACAACGGCGACGACATGATCATGATGACGGCGGCAACGGTGCGGTGCGGTGCGGAAGAAGACATGGCTGTGCAGAGCTCTGTCAGAGCGACCTTCTGTAAGTAAGCACCAACGCCACTAACCGCCACCGCCACCGCCACCACCGCCACCACCACCACCACCATCATCATCAGCTCCAAAACCAAGCAGTAGAGTGGGCGAAAAACTGCTATAATACTATTATAGTATATGGCAGGCGGTGCCGAGGTATTGTGGGGGGTGTCGCGGTTTCAGCACGCCAACAGGCGAGGTACGTACAGAATCGGCTCTGGTTAGCGGCGTGTTGCTCCTCGCCTTTGCCCCTGTCCTACACAACCTCCCGTCGAGTCGAACTTGTTCCTGAGTACATTACTGGCGAAGCTTCGACGCAAGATTAAGGTTCCCATGGGTAAGTTGTTTTACTGCTGTTCAAATTACACAATTTCCACCACAAGAAGAAGAGGGTTTTTTGGCTGCACGCTCGCTTGGACTTGTATAACTTGTTGGCCAAAGGGTAGGGATCGGGTGCTTGTGCGACTCTCTTCTCTCTTTCCCGGTCTCTTCGTCTCCGTCTGTCTGCCTGTCTGTGTGTCTGCGTGTCTGCCTGCCTGCCTCTCTCCATGTATATTGAAGGGTCTCGAACGCCCCCCCTCCCACTCTCACTCCTCATTTCCTCACCCTTCTCCACTGGCCAGATGCTGAGGTCCATGCGGTTCCCCCATAGGGCCGCAGTAGCGTACAGCTTAATCCCCGTCGCGGAACCTAGCACGTCGGTCTGAGAGCGAAGCGCGGGACACCCAAAACGGCACCAGTCGAAGTCGGTAACACGAACACGGAGGCCGGGGGAGGGGGGTTTTACGGTACAGCACGTCACGGTTTCCTCGAGGACATTGTGTTTCCGGAACAAACGAGGCCTGCACGCTTGTCGGAGTGCTACATCAAAATGCAACGACAACTGCTACCATGATTCCGGAAATAGGCGGCCGAGCAGAAGAAGCAGCAGCAGCACCACCATCACCATCACCACCACCAGCAGTAGCACAAGGAGAAGCACAAGTTCGTCCTTTATAAGCGGCAACACTCTCTCCCGCTGAGATTGATGCCTCGTGATTCTCTGGTTTCTTCCGCTGAATGACTACAGTATTGTACGCGTGCAACCAGTACCGCGGGTGGTACGTACGCGGGATTCATCTCTGCCGCATAAAAAAAATCTAGTCCATCAAAGTTTGGTTCGACGTTGATTGGCCGATTCTGCAGGCATCGAATGCCACCGAGACCATCCGCGTCATTTAAGCTCGATGTTTTGACCAAACTCAGGAGCAACACCCGCCCGCCGTGTGAAGTAATCGTTCGTCGGGTCTGCACACCCTCCCCTCGGATACGGCTGAATTCACGGCCTACTGTAGACAGTCAAGATAGTCTTTGAGCACGGTGGATAGTCATTTTTGGACAGCTCATAATAGTCATTCTTGGCCAGCGTATTGTTGAATTAGCGAAGCTCGCCGGCGCGATAAAACCTGTTCGAGGGTCTGCCGTGGTGCCGTACGTTTTGGAGGCGGTTCTTGTGAAGCGCGCCGACAAGGACCCTGCTCGTTGTCCCCCCCCCCCATGGACTCACTTCGGTCGCCAGCAAACGCTTGGCCAGGGCCTCCATCGACTTGAGCGCGGACGTGACACCGAGCATCTTCTGGTCCATGAACGGGTCCACACCTTTGAAGAAAACAAGAAAATCCCAAAAACAAAATGAGGGCGCGGGAGGAAAACACCGATACAGGAGTGCCGGCCCGTTCGTAAGAAATATGTTCGTTATAAACCGAGGCTCAGATTTTGGACAAACTAAAGAAAATACCCTAACAAGTTGAGCATAGCGGCAGGCGGTACATCAATTCCCATCTAGTCTAAAAGCCGATTGCTCAGTGGTGGAGACAAAGACAAGATAGGCTTTGAGCCTCGCTCAAAACAGGTGCTTCTTATGAGCGGGCTGGCACTGCATACGTACGTGCCCCGTTTTGTTGCTATGCGTAGAATGGGACGTAAAAGAAGCAAACACCACACGGTTTGGTCTACAATGTAGTGTCGTGCTAATTCATGTGTGACCAGAATATTGGATTGTCACTAAATTTGCCGAGCACATCGCGAGGAAAAGTACATAAAGCATTAAAATATACGGAGTATTGCATATCCTGCCGAGTCTTTCACTTTGGGCTGTATGTGTCTTCGGATTTTCTGTGAGCAAGGAAGTTCGTTGCTCTGGCTTCCATGAGGTGAGGGAGACGAGGTAATTGATACAAAAAGGAAATAGGTTGACTTTGTAGACAACGAACACAAGGATAGATCCAGTCAAGTGCTTCCACAGACGAAAATGCTGGCAGAGGCAAGTACATGGCTCCCAGCGGTTGGAGTCTCGCCCTCTCTCTCTTCTCCCTGCCCCCCCCATAAAAGAAAAAACAACAGAAATCGACGCAGCTCCTTTCGTAACGAAGCCAACGTTGGGGGACACGACCACAACTCTCTCCTCGCCTGTCTTGAAGAACGAAAACGCCTCCACCACCCGACGGTAGGCGTAAAACTCAGAGTAGAGCCACGGCGTGTCCAGCCAGCTCATGCCCAGGAACGGCCCCATGACCTTGTTCCACTCCGCTACCTCCGGCCCGCCATCCTCGGAGATGGGCCTCAGCTGGACGTGAGCAGCAGAAGCAGTAGCGTCAGGGATGAGTTGAAAGGAGAGGGGGATGGATGTGGGCCAGCTGGGATGTGCAGCGCTCTTGTCGTGAATGAGATGAAAAAGAGGGGGATAGATGGGGGGCCGACTGGGATGTGCAGCGGCACTGTCATGAACGAGTGAAAGGAGTGGGGGATAGGCGTGGGCCGACTGACGCACTAGCCGCGCGGGCGGTGTGTGGCTATGATGGTGTACCCCTAGACACCGTGATTCTTCTCGTGTTGGCCTTGAGCGCTCTCGAGAAGCATACGCCAGCCAAGCAGTGCACCGCTCAGCAACACAATCAAGAGGGCTTCGGGAGCTGCGGTTGGAGCCCGAAAAAAACTGCAGTAGATACCTTCGAGTCTCCCGCGGTCTTGAGTTCTTCGACGAGGGCATCCAAGGCTTCCTTCGCCGAAGCCATCTCTGGCTTGTTCATGTCGTTGTCGTCGTAGATGCGCATCAGGATGTTCTCCCGCAGCCGCCGCGACTATTGGATCGAGCCCACCCAAGCCGAGAATCCCGCCACACAAAAACAGGGAAGAACAAACACAACAATATGTGAGCCAGTACGGGCACAACACACACGCCGATTGGGGACACGCAGAAAAGCGGCTGAACAGTACTGTACATGCATTCACGGTACGATACACGCATTCCGGGAACAGTCGCTGCTGCTGCTGCTGCTGCTAAGGAGGCCGTTTTTCTCGACAGTGGCCCCGCGGACAAAACTTCACTGCAAGAACCTGCCGCGTGCGTGCGTGTACGTGTACATACACACCATTGTGTCGTAGGCCCAGCTCCCGGGGACATTGGAAACGATTATCTCCGGCAGCGGCGCCCTTGGTAGGACGAACCCCTCCTCCGTCTCACCCTCGCCCTCCTCCGCTTTCTCGGCCGTCGACGGAGCTGCCATCATACGGGCCGCCCTACCCGCCGGACTCCTCCGGCCGCTGCGATGCCGCACAGACCGCGGTGGTCCTAGGACTCTTGACGCTGGTGCTACTGCTCGTGTTGCGAGGCCGTCGCTCACAGCGGTAGTCCCAGTGGTGTCGGCAGCGAGAGAAGAAAATCGCGGGGGGGCAACAACGAACCCGTGGACGTTCAGGGCTGCCGCTGGGAGGAGCACGATCGCGCTACGTGATCGACCAGGAACAGCGACCGGAGGCATGCGCGCGGGGGCGGCGGGAGAGGGATGAAGGTGGTGCGGGTTACCGTATTGTTGAGCGGGTCGGGAATTGCGCGACGACGTGTGATCATGTCATCGCGTCCTTCATGTTGTTTTTTCTCTTGACGAGAGTTTGCCATGTATATGCGGGCCTGAGATAAAGACACCCAAGAAATCCTAGAAACTCGGCAGGATCTGGCAGCCAGGACAGGAAACCAAGTTCATTGATTGTCATAAAGAAAAATGACGACGGGGCGCTGCTGTTTTAGCTACATTCGTCCTTCGCGGCGGGCACCTCCGATTATTTAGTCGAACTGAAGGACACAAGACACATCTCCCAACCTTGGAACTCCGATTGGCAGATGATGTGAACAGGGTGCATCACGCTCGCTCATTACAATGGAAAACTGTCAGAAACGACTAGACTCTATGGCCTACACCAGTACGGCAGCACCAGTAGGACTGCACGGCTTGGCGGGCGATTTCCTTGGACGCAGCAATGCGACTCACCGACTTCGCTCTTTCAAACAAAGCAAGCCGTGCCGGATGTTTGCCACAACCACGATCATGTGTCTTGTCATGTTTGTGTATCATGCGGTTCTCTTTTTCTTTGTAGCCAATTTTGTTCCATCATTGCGGACTGAAGGGGTCTCTCGACCAGAGTACTCACCAACCAATGCGTAACGTGTTAGGCATGACACGGCAACCAGCTTGCGATGCGACCAGGCAGCGATCAGGTGTGCGAACTTGTCAGCATGGGCGTTTACGTACAATATGCGGCGCAATCAACCCCCCCGCCAAAAAAAAACATTGCACGTCACCCCTCACCCCTCACCCATGGAGCTGGGAGTTGATCCTGTACAGCAGCAGAGCACAGCACGCACGGAGTACCTCTCTCTTGGCTTGGCCATGGCTGCGTTGCGGAAGGTGGCCGTGGGAAGTGCAGGAGCCCTGGGTTTGGCGACTGTCGGCACGGCCTTTGTGTAAGTATGCAGATGTTGCCCGCATAGTTGTGATTGCCCACTGCCCACTGCCGGGCGCGGCAGGACTCCCCAGCCGTATACGAGCCGGAACAAAGCACGTGTGGCGGCATGTCCCTTAGGGTGTCGCCTACGCAGTAGCAATGGATCAGATTGTGGGTGATGTTGCATGCATGCTTGAACCTCTAGCCCTCTCTTGTCTCTCGTAGCTAATGGCACAGCCGGCGATGGGAGCGCCCACATGCTTCTCCGACATTTGTGGGATCTTTTCCCAGAGAGAAACACGCCTGTACAATAGCGCGCCGTCTGTTGCCCTTGCTCGACTCTGTCTGGCACCCCCCCCCTCGTATGTAGGGTGACCGCTACCCGTGAGTTTGTGGGCATCAGTTGTTTGCTAAAGGCCCTCTAGTTTTCGTTCGGAAACACTTGGCACACGGCACTACATGTACCGTATACGACATACGATAACACATCCCCTCGACCGATTTTCAAAGCTAACAGCAGAGTCGCAGCGCCGAAAACGGCGGCTTTGAAGCCGTCTGGTCGAGAGCTCTCCGAAAACGTATCGTTTGGTTTATGCATTCTCTTCGTCTTGGAGTGATCGAGCTTCGAAAATCGATCCAGAGGGTGTGCTATCTTGTGTCGTATACGGTATGCGAATGCCGCAGAAAACCAAACAAATTAGTTTCAAACCAAAAACGAAGGAATGTCTTGCCTAAACATGTTCGCCCTTCCTTACGTTTGGCCCGTGTGGTCGGTTTTGTGTGCCTCTGCTGTCATGTTCACTAGGGATCTAGGGATGTGCGATCCAGCTTGGATGCATACTGTAAACTTTCATGGCGTACTTTCCTCGCAGCTGTAGCGCTGCACAAGGTTTTAGTATTCAGCACCCTCCCGCGGGCGGGACAGAATAATAGTCGAAAGTTCCCGAGCACATCCAGTTGGCAGATGAGGGGGTTATCCCAGCAAGCAAGTACATTACAGTTGGTGTCCGCCGTACGCACAGCAGTGCTCTATAGAGTTCTATAGAGTGTGACCTTACATTTAAGAAGAAAATAAAAAACGCATCTGAAGCTCTGATCTCGGGTTCCCGAAACGTCGTCTTGTCGTCCTCGTTCGCCGCTTGCTGGACGCATGGATGGACGATGCGATGCCCTCCCTCCCTCTGAAGGTATCGGCCGAACCCATGGTCCAATCCGCCGAGTGACCCGCTGAGCGAGCGCGCGGGCCAGGAGGAAGAGAGCCTCCTCATGAAGACCTCTAGGCTCTTCACCTTCGTCACGGGCACGGCCGCCTTTTCGATCCTGATGCACGTCCTGAACACGTGAGTCGTCGGATATTTGGCTACAGTACAGCAGCACAACCACCACCGCCGTCACCTCAGAGCTACATTTGGCGCTTTCCTGTAGCTGTCGACGAGGCGTTTGGCTCACACTTTCCCCTTGCAGAGCACCTCTGGCGTTTCAGCTGCGCATGGTTGTTTTTCTTATGGCGCGCTCCCTTTCCTCTGCGTTGTCGTAGCCGCTTAGCGTTTCAGCTGCGTATGACTAACTTTCTCATGGCACGCCCCCTTTCCTCTACGTTGTCGTAGCCGAAGCCTCGGAATTATACGACCCTTCATTTCTGCCTAAGTTCGGGGAGGGGAGGACCACAAAATAAAATGAATACTCGATCCCCGACTACATCCTGGTAGATAGGGGGAGCACACAGGTCCCGGAGCTGCACGTAAGTGCGATAGATATAGGTTCGACCGACCATTTCCTCATATGGGCAAACATCGACCGATCTAGAAAGACGGAGAGTAAGAAAAAGAGGAAAGTGTTCCGGTGGAAAGTAGAGCGTTTGGGAGACGAGGGGACACGCGATGAATTCCAGAAGGGATTGGCTGGTAGTGTAGAACCCTTCAGGAAACTGCTGAGAAGCGTCGACGACGGAAAGGTAGACGTACAAGCAGCAGGGGACAGGGTGATTGAAGGATGGGAGTCCATAGTGAACACAACGGCAGAGAGAGTAGTGGGAAAGAAGGTGGTACGATGTGGGGTATCGGTTAAGTGGTGGGATGACGAGCTGAAAGAAGAAATAGGGGAACGTAGAGAAGTCTTCAAGCAGTACCTGGGTGAGGGGTCTGAAGAGAGTTGGGAAAAGTACAGGGCCAAGAGGAAACAGGTGAAGGGACTAGTGAAAAAGAAGAAAAAGAGCATTTGGGACGAAGTAGTGCAGAAGACCAACGGAGGCCTGGAGGGGAACGTCAAGCAGATGTGGGAAGGGATTAGTGGGATGGTAAAAAAGACCGCGCAAGGGGGGGATACAGGGGTAGCAACATTGCGAGGTGTGAACGGTGGACTAGTCAGCAGTGGGAAGGGAAAAGGGAAGTTCTAGCAGGACACTACAAGAGACTTGGAGTGCCTTCGGAGAATGAAGATTTTGACCAAGTGTTTAAGAAGGAGGTGGACGCATGGGCCCAGAAAGAAGAAGAGACATCGAAGGCAGACGTTGGGAACGTAGAACTAGAAAAGGAGTTCACTGAGGACGAGGTTGAGGCGTGTGTGAACAAGCTGCAGTGCCACAAAGCAGCAGGGGCGGATGGGATAGTAAACGAGTTCATGAAGTTTGGGGGCAAGGGGATGATCCAGCTGATGGTACTGCTGTACAACTGGGTGTGGAAAAACGAGTATGCGCCAAGTAGATGGAGGGAAGGAGTGGTTGTGAACTTGTTTAAGAAAGGAGACAAGACTGACCCAGGAAACTACAGGGGTATCACACTGTTGAACACAGTAGGAAAAGTGTTCTGTAAGCTGCTGAACGATAGGATAGTGGGAGTATTGGAGAAGAAACGTAGCATTAGTGAGGGCCAGGCAGGTTTCCGACAGAAGAGGGGGTGCGTAGACCACGCATTCACGGTAGGGAGAATCATCCAAGGTAGAAAGAGGGCGGGCAAGCGGACGTACTGCTTCTTCCTGGACGTGAAAAAGGCATACGATACCGTATGGAGAAATGGGCTGTGGAAACAATTGTCCAAGTACGGGATCAAGGGGAAAATGTGGAGGGTGCTGAAGAAGATGACAGAGTGTACGAAAAGCGCGGTCATGCTAGACGGAGAACTGTCTAAATTCTTCGACATTGAGCAAGGGGTCCCACAAGGTTGCACGCTGTCCCCAACATTGTTCCGGGTGTTCATCAACGATCTGTTGGAAGTCGTAGAGGCAGTCCGGAAGGGAGTAAAAGTAGGGGACACGGAAACTTCGGTGTCAGGAATGCTGTTTGCGGATGACTTTGTTGGTATGTCGGACACCCCTGAGGGACTGCAACTGCAAATTGACGCGGAGAAGAAGTTTACTGATAAGTGGAGATTGTCTGCCAACGTTACGAAGAGTGCCGTCATGGTATGCAACGAGGGCAGGGAGGAACCAGTAGAACATAGATGGAAGTGGGGGATCGAGGAGATTGCAGTAGTCGACCAGTACACATACCTCGGAGTAGAGATCGCAAAAGATTGCTCGTGGAATGCACACATGTCCAAGGTAGCGGAAAAGGGCAAAGCACGAGCAGGGAAGCTTCACCCAATACTCGCAAACCGGCACCTTGATACACGCATCAAATTGACGGTTTTGAAGAGCGTAATCGTACCGCCGCTGGAGTACGCCGGAGAAGTATGGGAAGGAAATAAGAAGGTAGTGAAAGAACTCGAGGCGGCGCAGATGAAAGCAGCGAAAATCATCCTAGGATGCTCCAAGCGCACAAGTAATGCAGCAGTCAGGGCAGAATTGGGGATCCAATCCCTACGGTCGGGAAGAGACGTAAGGAAGCTGACATGGCAGTACCGCATGTGCGGGATGGGAGAGGAGAGGTTGCCGAGAATAGTATGGGAGGCGAAGTGGGCAAACAAAAAGAGGGGTAGACAACCCACGGAATGGGTCAAGGTTGTAGAGGACTGTATGGAAGGGATTGGACATCGACGAAGATGAAACGCTGGAAACGGAGGGTCTACAGGGGTTCAAGAAGAAGATATCTGTTGCTTGTGCCGACAGAGAAGAACAGAATCTAAGGAAAGAATCCAAGGATAAGGAGGGTCTAGAAGTGTACGGAATGTTGAAAGAAGGAATAGGGTTCAAGGATTACCTACATGGACCAATGGATGCAGGGACAAAGCTTAAGGTCAAATTCAGGACCGGGGACATAGGCCTTCGCGAACGTCGACGAAGACATAGGACGGTAGACGACGAAGACGACAAGTTCAAATGTGATTGCGGCTTCGAATGCGAAGACAGTGTTCATGTAGTCGCGGAATGTCCGTGGTACGAAAAGGAGAGGGAAGTGTACATGACTGAGCTGGGAAGAATACAAGGGACGTACAGGGAGATGTTTGAGGCATGGAATAGAGAGGAGAGGACGGTAGCGGTACTGGGGAGTAGGAAGCGGTTTGAAAAGGCGGGAAGTGACATCGGTAGGATAGACAGACTAGGGAAGACATTTTTGAGCCACCTTTGGCAAAGTAGGAAGGAACGATTGGCCATCGGTGATCGGTCCTGTGGGAACAATGCTCCGTCCTCTCGAGGACGCGTGGTCAATGGTCTAACCGCTAAGGCATGCAAAGCATAAGAGTACGCCCCCCCCCCCCGCCGCCGCCGCCGCCCCGTCCTCAATCAACAAAATTATAACTAGCTTCGAGCTGAAAGAAGACGAGCACTACAGGAAGTTCCTCAGCCTGGTGAAGGAGAGGCCAAGCGGGGTGCCCCTCCTGACGGTGTGCAACCACTGCTCACCAGTAGACGACCCCGGCGTGCTGGTGGGCATGCTCCCGGCCAGGGTGACGATGAGGCCGGAGCTGATGCGCTGGACCATCTGCGCGCAGGAGATTTGCTTCAAGTGGACCGCTGCGGGGACGGGGTTCGGCTCGGGGAAGGTGAGGGAAGAGAGGCAGAGAGGGGAGAGGAGAGGAGAAGGGGGGGAGAGATACACACAGATAAAAGAAAGATAAGTAGATAGAGAGAGAGAGAGGGAGAGAGAGACAGGGGGAGGGGGATAGACAGAGAGAGAGGAAGATAGGGGGAGATGAAAGGAGAGGAGAGGGCGAGACAGAGATGGAAAGAGAGGAAGAGAAAGAGTTGGGCGCAGAGAGGGAGACGAAGAGGGAGAGAGAGACAGTGCCCCTCTCAAAGGTACTCCCTAACTCCTTTGTCCCACTGTCGGAGTATTTCGCGACACCTTCATTGTTTGGTATTTCTTCGCTGCTGCCAAACTTCGAGAATCGAGGCTCACAAATCTGACGTACGCCTGTGCTTTTGTGCCTGTGTCCGTACATGTTGATTTTTTTTTTTCCCTCTGTCGGAAGAATGCACCCGACGGCGTAGTTTGTTTACACGACAGCTGTTTTTCGGTAGTTTACTTACACGACAGCAGTTTTTCGGCAAGTGCGAGTATGGCATAGGCTTGTACTTTCGCTGTGCACGATAAGTAGTTCCATGGGCCTGACTGATCGAGCACCGCAGGTTCGGTACTAGACTTGTAATTTGGTCTCCACAAGCTCATTCATCCCCGGGAGCCGTTCTAGACCTCTTGATTTTCTCCCACGGACGGGAAAGACACACAAGAAACACTACTGTTCACGCCCCGAACGAACCGCCGCGCGCTGTCCGCGTACCACGCTGTGTGAATCAAAATGACCAGGTGATGCCCATCGCGAGGGGTAGCGGGGTAGACCAGCGCTTGCTGCTGAACTTCTACCGCCGATTGCTGGGCGGAGGCTGGTGCCACATCTTTCCGGGTGTGTGGTGTGTGGTAGAACACAAAGTCTTGGCACCGCGTGTGGTAAAAATGTGACTTCTGCGTTTGTTTTTTTTCGTTTTTTTCGTGCAATGTCTCTCCGGCCGGTTGGTGACTCGTAACTTTTAACATTCCGCTCTCTGGTCTCAGTTGTATCGCGTGCGTATTCACCACCGCCCGCGATGTTGATTCTGTCCTTACCCTCCATTTGGTGGACGAATTGATTGAGATGCATAAGACGATTGAGATGCAAAAGGGCCAATACGATGACGTCTTTCTCAGATGAGCGGTCAGCTTGGCCACGCCGCCACCACCACCCCCCACCACAACAACCATTGGGCAGCATTTTAGCACCCACCTCTGACGTGTTTCACTTCGTGTGCCCCCTTGCCTCGTGCTCTGCCCTGCCCCCCCCCCCAACTAAAATCAATCCGGAACAAAACCAAAATCGAATCGGATATCGAACCCAAAAATCAAACCAAAAATCGAACCAGAGGGGCACTGCGAGCAGGGCGGCTCCCTCGGCGGCCGGCCGGCGGGCGTGGGCCGCGACGAGCACGGCCGCCTCAAGTGGGGGGTCGGCAAGATGATCGCGCACGCCCCCGTCACGCCCGTGGTGATCCCGCTCTTCCACACGGGCATGGCCAACCTCGTCCCGATCAACCCCCTCACCCGAAAGATCCTGCACGCCCTGCCGAGGATGGGACACACGGTCACCGCCCGCGCGGGTAGAGCAATAAGGTATGCTAAGGCTAACACTCATGTATGTACCTTCTTACTTGTTTTTTTGTTTGCACGGCGCATGGCCTCCACCGCTGATGCATACCTATAACTACCTACAGCCACCTTTTTGCATTTGAGGAAACTGCTTGGGGGGGCGTTGATGTGTTGTTTGCAGGGCGCATGGCCTGCAGTTATCTATATAATAGCTTCCCGTTGACCAGTCGTCTTCACGTGCGCCCGTGTGTGCGTTTGTTTCCTTTTTTGCATCCAAAATAACTAGTTTTGACGACCTTCTAGAGGACCACGAGAGACGGCACGGCCGGCTCCGAAAGCTCTCGCTCCCATCAAAGTCTTGCCTTCCTCCTACGGGCGACAGCGGTGGCGGTGAAGGGCCGCCGCCAGGACAATTTTCCTTCTCCTCCTCCTCCTCCGTTGTGATCCCGGGGGGCGGCGAAGGGGACGTCCTCTGGAGGTCCACCCGCGAGGAGCGGCAGCTGTACAGCAGGATCGCCCGAAGGGTGGAGGAGGCGCTGCTCCAGCTGGAGGCGGAGGCGAGGCGAGATCTGGGGCAGAGCTACCCCGGGTACCCGGCGGAATCGGCGGCACTCCTGGCCACCCACGGCAGAGGGGGCGGCGGGCCTTGAGACTGAGAGGGAGGGGGTGGAGGAGGTGTTGGGTGGTGCCTGGGGTTAAGGCCCCGAGACTGAGAGGCACATCGCGAGGTTGCGGTGTGCCACCGGCTTGGTTGGGTTTACCTGTAGGAAGTCTTACTTGGCACCAAGTGAGACGCCCCCTCCCGTCCTTGTGTTGGTGGTGCTATGCTTTCTTGTTTGTTCATTGTGCCGGTCGGTGACCCTTGCCCTGGTGGCAGACGCATTTCTTGCCACTATCTGAAGTGTGTGCCTGGCAATATCCAATGTGATTCCTTACGTGTTGAAAGTAGAGTACCAATACTGCAGTGCACTTGATACATCTTTTAGTCGCTTCTTGTCCTTCCTGCCTGTCCTGGGCATGAGATGTGTCAAAAGGTGCCCGTGCTTTACCACTGTTTAGCCATACCCCTCCAATTAATATCTCATCCTTGAAAGTATTGCTGAGAGGAGATGGCGCACGTGTTTCGCCTCGCTTCGCTGCGATGTTCTCCTACGACCCCCCCCCCCTCCCCCCACGTATTTGATGGGCCCGTTGAAAGGGGTGGTTAACCGGGGAGGGCATTGCGGACACCCAGATGTTGAAACGGTGGGTTCCTTGTGTGAGAACACGAATCGCTGAGGCTGCTGCACCGTCTCAGAATTCAGGATTCCACAGGTCCAGTCTACAAGCACGCGATGGGTGTCAGCTTGTTTGGCTGGTTTTTGCCAGGGTCCAAGTAAACCGTACCATATTGGAGAGCGCGTTCGACTTGCATCAAGGGGATTTAGCGAAAGCTATAACTAGCGTGGAGCCTCGATGGGAGCTGATGAGACGGTTGCAGGAGGTGGGATGCAAAAATGTAATACTTCTCAAGTAGTGCTCATCGCCGATAGAGCGTGACAGTGGGTGTGTAAAGGACGAGGTGGCTAGCAGCGCATGGGGCAGGGTACCTGATACCTTGCAAACGCTTGTTTCGCCACACGTCGCGTGTTTCTTGGGAAATATTACAAACGGACCGGTGAGGGCGCAAATACGGCAGTGATGCCAGCAAAACTCGGCATCGCAACGTGCACCTAGACATATCTGTGGGGAAAGAGCCAAAGGATCTACTAAGGAGCCGAGAGCCCCACGCTGTTTTTTTCCCAGCGGTTGCTTGACGCACACCTACGAGCGAACCGCCCGGATACCTTCTTTCTTGGAAGAATTACGCCAATCGCGCAAAACTACGTACAATATTGTGCTGGGAGAGACAACAGGGCCGAAAATTAACGTGCCTGCCAGCAGAGGCCGGTGGCCCATTCACAAGATGCTTCCACAGGCGTTCTTCTTCCGTCAACGGCAGCAAAAAATCAGGGTTTTTCTCGTATTCTTGGCTTGAACCTAAACCGGGGTACAAGAGTGCCGGACCCAGAACCAGAGCGCTGATGCAATATAAGTTATCTACAGCCCAGACGACAAGAAATCTCAAGTCCCGACGCGAAACTCAAACCATACAAGAAGCATACATACCCACCGCACGACACAGCAGATAATGTAGCGCGCCTATTTAGTGCGGTGTGGTGTAGGACCGGCGAACCTTCACATCCACACAACAAAAGACGCCACCGCACGAGCGTGCAACGACACAGCACAAAAAAACAAACCAAATCATCATCATCGGCCCTCTCTCTTCTTGCCCCCCGCCGCGGAAACCCCTTCCGACGCCTGCTTGTACTTGACGAATCGGCCCGCGTTGAGCGCGGTCTCCTTGAGGTGGCACATGGCGTCCCTCCCCAGCGCCTTGCCCTCCTGCTTCACCTTCCTCCGGAACGCGGGCACCCCCGCGGCCAGGGCCGCCGGCGCCCCCGACGCACGGAAGGCGGCGTCCAGGCCATCATCTCCATAAACGTCCATCACGGCGTTGAGGGCTTCGGCCTGCACGAGCACGTGCGGGTCCTCCATCGCCTGCACCAGAGCGCGACCGAGCCCTAGATCTGTGCCCCCCCCCGCCGCCGCCGCCCCTTCTCCCGCTACGGCCGCCCCCGCCGCGGCCGATCCGAGCGCCCCCAGCATCCCCACCGCGTTCACCCGCGCCTCGAACGCACGCGTCACCGCGGGGTCGCACAGACGCAGGATCAGGGGGAGAGGGTCCGCGGAACGCTTGGGTCCTCCTCCTCCTGCCTGTGTTGCTGCTTCTGGGGCGGCTGCCGCCGCCGCCGCCCGGAATCCGGCGGCGACGACGGGGCCGGCGCGTCGCACGAGCCCCCACATCACGCCGGTGACGGTCTCCACGCAGGACGGCGCTCGCTCCGTCGCCGCCTCGCACATGCCGCACAGCTCCGCCCACAGCGCGTGAGGGTTCTCGCCGAGGGCCTTCGCGGGCAGGTTCTGCACGAGGTTGGCCGCGCACAGGGCCACCGTGGCGCGCAGGTCCGCCAGGTCGCCGGCCACGCCCGCGGGAAGCGCAAGCCGGTCATCCGTATTAGCCGCCGCTGCCGCTGCTGCTCCTTCGGCCGTTTCCGCCGGTGGTGGTGGCAACGCTTCTCCCGCCGCACCACCGCCGCCGCCGCCTATCGCCGCCGTTGGTTGCTCGCGTTGCCGGTCTCTCGGAGTCGGGGCGAGGAGGGCCTGGAGGGTCGCGAGGGTCCGCTGCAGCGCGCCGCCTTCCGCCATGGCCTCGAGAAGAACGGCGGTGAGCGCGCCCTCGCTCGCCTGCTGCTGCCGCCCGGCACCGCCGCACGCGGCCTGCTCCATCGCGTCCTCGTCATCGGAGCCCCACTCCTCTTCCTCTTCCTCCTCTTCCCCGTCCCCCGACGCCAGGGCGCAGAGGTTCGTCATGACCTCTGCCGTCAGCTTGAGTGGCTCCGCCACGGTGAGCTTCCACTCCCAGCGGAGCTGCGCGTCCCTGTCCGGCTGGTCCACCCCCCCCTCCTCTTTCTTCTCCCCGCCTTCCAAGTCGTTTCCTGCTGCTCCATCGTTCTCGGACTCCGTCCCTTGGGCCGGTTCCTGTCCTCCACCTTTTGTTGCCCCCGCTGCCGCGCCGGTCGTAGTTGTTTCCATCTGCATTGGCGCAGCGGCGGAAGCCGCACCGGCTGCTGCTGCGGCGCCGACTCCTGCCTCTCCGTCCACGTCCATGCTGCTCTCCGCGCTTCCCGCCGCCGGTCCCGGTGTCGCCGGCTGCTTCTCGAGGGCCAGGGTGACGCAGGCCTGCTGCAGCGCGGTCGGGTCGTAGGCCATCTGCTTCAGGAGCAGCGGCAGGACCACCCGGGTCAGCTCCGCCTGGTCCTCCGCGCTCCGCGCCGCCTCGGCGCCCGACGACAGGCCCGCCACGTTGACGAGCACCCCGGCCGCTTGCACTCGCATCGACGCGGATACCTTGACGTGGGCAACGTCCGCGCCCTGGACGAGCGCCGAGATATGGTCGATGGCTCCCGGTTGGGCCGCCAGCTGGCGCGAGAGGTCCTCGTTGGAGTCGGTCGCTACGTGCAGAGCCTAGAAAGAAAAGGCAGATGGGGGGGGATGGTGCATGTGTGTGCGTAGGCGGATAGTGGAGGTACGCCTGCGTTTAGAGGCGCCGCGAGGCCTATGCAATCGCTCTTGCGCTTAAGCGCTTTGCCAAGTGTTTTACTCGGATTCTACTCGACCGTCGAATTCTTGTTCTATTAGCAAAGCAATCATCATTGCATGTACATTGTAGCGCGAGCCAGGGATTGGTCGAACTAACGCCTCCCGGTGACACAAAAGCGACTAGAGTCGTACACCTGACAAAAACAGATACCTACCACGCAAGCACAAGCGTGCGAGCACACACACACACCTGCAGCGCGCCGCCGAATACCTCCGAGCTACCTCGGCAACCCTCCGCCAACAGCAGCCGCATGACAACCTGCAGCCCCCCCTGTCGCGTGAACCTCCCGACGGCGACATCAACAGCCGCGAGCAAGTTGCACAGAGTCGCCACGAGCTGGGCAACAACGACCGCTTCTTCCTCCGCCGTCATCACCAGAGCCGGCTGGAGCTGCTGCTGCTGCTGTTGCGTGTTGCCGTTGCCGGTCTTCGGTGTATTTGCCCCTGGTGGTGGTGCGGAGGCGGCGGTGCCGGCAACGGCGGCGGCCGCCGTCGACATCCGGTCGAGCAGGGTGAGCACCGGCGTCAAGCAATCGTCATGCACGAGGACCTCGCACATGCGCGGGTCGCGGACGGCGCTGATATTTCTCATCGCGCCGATGGCCTGCAGCTTGACCCCAGGCACGCGGTCGACCATGCGCGGCAGCAGCTTCTTGACGAGCCCGCCCGCGATCAGCCTCTGCGCCGCGGCCCAGGATTCGCCCCCGGCTTCCGGGCCGTCGACCTTCTCGAACAGGGAGGCAATGGCGGCGCAGGACGACTCCCTCGTGAGGGCGTTGAGGCTCGTCAGGCCGTCGAGCACACCCCCTGCCTTGGCGTCCATCTGGAGAGGCTGCTGCTGCTGCTGCTCCTGCTGCTGCTTCGCGACGGCGGTGCCGGCGTCTGCTGCGGCTCTCGCGGCCTGGGTGTGACTCTTTTGTCTCCTCGCTTTCCCCATCTTGCCTTTCGAGACAGAGGAGCGGAGTACACAACTTCAGCACTCTCCCTAGCAATCTGTGTGCTTCCCTTCTCTCTCTTCTGCTATGGGGTGGGTGCGAGAGCACGGTCGGCGAGAGAGATAAATGGCCTGTGGTCGGTGGGACTGCCAGAAAACCTGAAAAGGTGACAGTGCCGGAACATGCCTACTTTCATGTGAAACCCTATTTTTCGCAGAGGAGACTGCACGCTGCTTGCTCACCACACCACCACAGAGAGTATTTGCAGCACTCTCAGTGCACAGAGGGAGAGAGGGAGACAGGTCGAGAGAGAGAGAAGGAAGGAGAGGGACGTGCGGGTTCGATTGGCCGGGCTTGGTCCGTACATGCCACAGAATTCAGTCTAGGCTTTTGTGATCAGCAAACAATTGCAAGTGAGTTTCCCGGCTGCATCATCATGGCTCCAGCAGCAGCAGCAGCAGCTGTGGAGGACCTCCCTGCCAGCGCTCTTCACCCTCTGGTCCACTCGTTCCTCTTGGTGAGACGTTGCTTCTAGTGATGAATACGGAGCATAGCCCTCCCTCGCGGGTTGCGTTGTGTTTTCGGTCAGCATGGGGCGAGTTCCTGCAGCACCCTCCGTAGACTGTACTTGTAGGCCTGTTGGAGGATTTCCAGCCGTGCAGTTTTTGAATCAAGTGAAGGTCTCGCGGAAGCCGCTCTGCAAACATCCGGCTCTCCGCAGAACCATGAACCCTGCTGTCTGCACAGCTCGCGAGACACCTTGTCGTAGATCGACAGCAGCGGTGAGGTAGCGTAACTAGTGATTTTGCTCCCGGGCCTCACGTGTCCCCTGCCTCGAGATCCACAGCGTATGTAGACGGGTCGTGGTGTACATGCTTCGGAGACGGCAGACACGCACTTCCGCTGTGCGGGAGCGAAGCCACTGACTGCTGTGGCCGTGTGCTTCCCTCTACATCATATGTGTGTACTGCTGCATCGGCTCCGGACGCGCTTGGAATGACTGTAGCTTTTCTGTTTCAAATACGGGAACACTATATGTAGTTCGCTCTCCGTGCACATGTTTTGTGTCGAACGTAAGATAACACCCCCCCTGACCGCTCTTTGAGGCTCGATCGAGGTACTGACTGCCGAATGAAGCCGCCAACGACACCGACTGCTGCGGGCGGTCCTCCCGAGCTCAGGACTGCCGCTGCGGCTTTGTCGCCGCGCCATCGGGAGGACCGCCCGCAGCAGTCGGTGCCGTTGCTTGGCTCCTCGCCTGTCGTTAGTACTTTCACATCTGTGTCTACGACGATTGTCTCAGCCCGTCTGATGTAGAGGTGTGGGCGAATTGTTGAGTTGTGGAGGTTCGCATCTTCGATTTTCGGATTTTAGATTTGACTTGAGTCGTATGTTGGGGTTTCCATGTATCTGCATATACGAACCTCGGGGTGGGCTAGTGATATGGGAGTTTACTACAAGGATCTGAGCGGTAGTTGCGCGTGTGAACCTCGTGACACCTGCGATAGCCTCGTTTAGTAATAATGCGACCCCTGGAATAGAGCCAGTGCCAGTGACGTTTCAGCGGCCATCACGCGCACCGATGTCTAGCGAGCCCCACACGCAACGGGTAATATACCGACGGGTGCTCTGAGTGCCATGCAGAAGAAAATGTGAGAAAAAACGCTGTCCCGGCAGAGAAAAAGAACAAAACCACCAAAAACAGTTGCCTTGGTACATATACATGTATCAGGTACCTATGCGATGGGCCTCGTCGTGCGGACCGTTGCTTTCGTTCATGATTATCAGCCCGGTGTTGCCATATTACTGCTGTAGTTGGTGTGTTTGACGGTAGGTTCGTCTCTCCATTGTTGTGTTCCTTTTTTTTCAGCAGTAGTGGGTGCATGGGGGGGGGGGGTACTCATAGTCGTGCACGCCGTAGTCGTTAGACCATTGACCTCGCATCCCTACAAAGTCGGGACGGAGCACGCCGGGTTCTCACCGGACCAGGCTCTCACATCACCAAGCGCGAAGCCCCGTGAGGTATTCGGCGAGTCGCATGAAAGCCGGTCGCCCCGGTGGTCTAGTTGGTATCCTCGAAACCTTCTAGAGGTGAGGTCAGGGGTTCGAATCCCGGTAAGCGAGCTTTTCTTAAAAAGTGAGTTTTTTATAGCGCTATTTAGTTCGTGTGTACACAGAGGGAAGAAAGTGCTGACCTCTTCTCGCATTAAAAACCGAAGGCAAAGTACCGCAGGCGGGGAGGGTAGAGAGGGGCTCTTCTGTGTGACCACGGGATGGAGTAAACGGCAATAGTGCTGTGAGCGCTGATTTGAAGTGAAGAAAAAAAAAAAAAATGAAGGGTGCGATGCATGCTGTGAAGGGTGTTCGGCATCTTGTGCTTACTTCCTTGCGTGTACGGATGACAGCTGCGTATGACTTAATTTATTTTCTGGTGCTTTCACTTCCAGAGACAGATGTGAGCACTGTGTACCTGCCTCCAGGGTGCTCGACCAATTTAACACAACGTGGTGCGATTATTCCCTTTGCGCGGAGTGAGGGTTATCGACCCTGCACAACGTAATCTACTCGACCACCATTCATAGTTACCGCAAACAAGAAAAAAACAAACGCAAAAAGAAAAGCGTTGACCTGGTCGCCGAGCTCACGAAGTGATCGGCTTGTTTTACAACATCGCTGCCAAGCGACGAAAACCCAACCCCGATGGCAAACACCGGGGGGGAGGGGGGGTGCAAAGCCGGGGGGTTAAATGTCTCTCCCGGTCGCATCAAAACGTTGCTGCCACGTCTTTCAGCAACAAAACAAACGGACCGGAACGCAAGGAAATTTTCGGGCTGGTGTCTATGGGTGTGCTGCAGCAATGTAGAGGCTCTACAGTTATACGCTGTTCTACCGACCGCCATAAGGGACAAGCTCCAAGAACAACAAAACGGTAACAGACTGCTGCAGGACACCCAAAGGCACCAGCCCGAAACTTTCCTTGCGTTACGGTCCGTTTGTTTTGTTACTGAAAGTTGAGGGGGGTATCCTATCCTGTGGAATGGCGGTCGGTAGAACAGCGTATAAACTGTTGAGGGGTATATCCTATCCTGCTCCCCAAATGACGGACCGCATGAGTCCAGAGTTGCTGTGTGTCGAGCACCGAACGCCTTGATCCTCCGCTGACGGTACCCCATGTCGACTTCAATTCTACGCTCGTGGCGCTCATTCCACACACACAATACAGCATTTTTTCGTCGTTCATAACGCCTTCTGGTTTTTCGCCCGTCGCCAGGAGTGCGGGCTCTCGGCCACGGCGGCAGCCTTGCGGGAGGAGACCGGCAAGAGCTCGAAGAAGCTCGGGAAGCAACAGGTTTGTGCGTGTGCCGGTGTGCCTTCCTCGCTATCGCATCGACCGCTCAAGCCGAGCGGCGCCCAGCACACACTGTCTGTGTGAACGATTACACCCACCATCCACATCAGCTGGTGATGATATGTATGTTTTTGATGACGCGCTGGATGGTTGTCGAGGGGAGGTGGCACGACGGTTTGTAGTGCGGCCCTTTGTCCCGCGTGCTGTGCTATCCGAGAAGGTGTGTTGCTGCTGCCCCCCGCGTCTGCTATTCCCCATCGGCATCGCCCGTCGCTATGTGTGGTACCACCGACCGAACTAGCGGTGCCCCCCGGCCCTGCCACTGCTGCTGGTGGTAGTGGTGTGGTTCTTACAAGAGTATTAAACAGCAGTGGCTTGTGGTGAACACGCTCTCGGTTTGTGCTTGCCGTATGCATCTAGACTATACGTGAAATTGACTCACCGTTCACCAGTATTAACAGTGGCTTGTGGTGAACATGCTCTCGGTTTTGTCTTGCCGCATATACGTCACATTGACGCACCTTTCACGCCTAGTGGCTTGTGGTGAACATGCTCTCATTTTTGTGCCTGCCGTGAAACACACGCACGTTCGCAGGCTGCGCTTGGGGGGGGCTGCAAGGACCTCCTGGAGATCGTCAACGCCCACCGCAAGCGGCTTGCCGCTGAGGCGGCGAAGGCCGGGGGCGACGACGTGCAGGAGGACATGGAACACACCAAGAAGGTGAAGAAGGCCAAGGCGGCAGCGGCTGCGGCTGCGGCGGTTGTTGCCTCCTCCTCTTCTTCATCCAGCAGCAGCAGCAGCAGCAGTAGCAGCAGCAGCAGCAGTAGCAGCAGCAGTGAAGATGAGGAAAGCGACAGCGATGACGAGGAGAAGGACAAGGGCAAGGCGAACGGTGTGAAGCCCAAGAAGGTGGTGGCGGCGGCGGCCGATTCTAGCAGCAGCAGCAGTAGCGACGAGAGCGGGGGGTCGAGCGAAGACGAAAGCGAGGAGGAAGAGGAGGAGGAGGAGAAGCCGAAGCCTAAGGCAGACGGCGGCAAGAAGCTGAAGGCGGCAGCGAAAGCGGCAGCCGCGGCAGCAATGGCGGCTGAATCTAGCAGCAGCAGCGACGAAGATAGTTCGGAATCGTCGAGCGAGGAAGAGGAAGAGGAAGAGGAGGAGGTTGAGAAAAAGGGGTCGAAGAAGAGAAAGGCTGCGGCAGAAGCGGCAGAATCTTCAGACGAGGAGGAGGAAGAAATCAGCGACGACGAAGAGGAGGCCGAGGCGAAGAAGCCGCCGGCCAAGAAGAAGAAGGTGCTGTGCTCCCCTTAATGTTGTTGCTGTTGGTGGTGTGGTGTTTGATGGGTATTTTTTGTGTTAGTGTTCTCTTCCCTGGTGCTGCAGAGGCTACCGCTGGTGGTGGTGGTGGTGGTGGTGGTGGTGCAGTTGCTGTCGTTACTGCTGTGCTGTGATTGTTTTTGGCGGGCTGTGAACTTGCTTGGAATCACCGAACTTGTGGCCTCTTTACGGCAGTCTGCTGCACTACCGTACCCTGACAGCGCCCAGTAGTCGAGCGGGAATAAGTGACTTTGCGTGATGTGGAAACGGGGACACAATCGTTATTTCCCTGAAAACCCTCAAGGACCGGCACCAAAGGAGGCTTGTGTAGGCCTGCCCAAACTGAATACTGCCTGCGTTTGAGAATGGTCCGGTTGCTCTGGCCTCCGACTGACCCCGCTCAGTACACACGCGGCGAGGAACGCAGTACACGTAGCGCTCGTACTGTGTTCGTGTGTTGCAAGGAGGCGTGACTTTGCACCCCTGAATGCAAGTTGTGGCCCGAAGTAGATAAAATCGAGACAATGTTCGGTATCTTTGAAGCGCCTAGCCTTGTTTAGCCCTGTTTTTTCTTGTTCATTAGTTTTGTTTTTCGTGTGCGTGGGCAACGATGGTATCTCGATGTATGTACAGTAGTCCGTCGCAGACATCCGAGAAACAGACGAGCCCTCTCAATGAATGCACTGCGTAAGGCTGTTCTCGGTTCGCACGAGAGAGACTAAGCGGTTTCCCGGAAACATTACGTGACTTAGTTTGTTTCGATTGTCTCCTTGCCATGCTGGCGCAACCAACGCAGGTCGAATCTTCTGCCGCCGCCACCGGGGATGCGGACAGCAGCAGCAGCAGCGACAGCAGCAGCAGCAGCGGCAGCAGTGACAGTAGCGACAGCAGTGACAGCAGCGATAGTGATAGCGACGATTCGTCTTCAGACGAGGAAACGGATGAAGAACAGGTTTGTAGGCGCGCCGGTTTTCCTTGTGCTTTTTTCATATCTTTCCGTGCCTCTCTTCTTCTTTTTTCTTTTTGATGTTGTGATACTTTTAACGATTTTTTTCGTTTTGATTCTTCGTTGCTTTGACCGAGGGGTAATTGCTCTCTAGCTTCTTGGTGCGTTTTTTCCCGTCTGTGAACCGGAGTGCGTTTTTGATCGTGTGTACAATTTTTGCCACCATCTATTTTTGTCTCTATGTATTCGCCGTTGTTTTCGTTGTTTGTTTTCGTCGACCTGTAGATACCTACAGTCTAGGAGGCAGCATTTTGGCGGTACCTTCTACCCCAGCCGAAAGTCCTCAGCTACCCTCGTTGTTTTTCCCACCTATTTTTTTCACTTTTGGTCATCCCTCCTGCATTGCACTTGTCACTATTTTTCGCACGCGTCGCTTTGGCTGATCTTGCTTGGTTCCTACGTAGAAGGCAGAAAGAGCGTTCACTATTCTTGGTCCCTCATTTAATTGTGTTTTTCACTGCTGTATGTTTCACCTGTCGCTTTGGCTCATTTAACTTGATGCGCACACAGGAGGCAGAAAGAGCGGTCGTAAAGGCCTCGGCGGAGAAGGAGAGAAGGAGGTCTTCGGCGGCCGCGGCCGCTGCGTGGGTTCCCAAGGCCCTGACGCCCAACAAAGCCGGCGGCGGCGGCGACTCCAACGGCGTGGCGAACGGCGACGGCATGAAGACGCCGGCGAAGGGGTGAGAGAGTGAGAGCGTGCTCCCTGGTGCATGCACACGTGATAGAAAATAGTAAAGATACTTGCGGATTTTCTGTTGTGCTTGTTTGAGAACGGGGGGGTCGCTTACTGAGCCTCGCGCCCTCCGAGCATGAGCAGCGAGAGAACACGACAGGCAGAATTACCGAACACAGGGCGCAGAGACATTTTTGTGGCCGGCTAAAAATGCTGGCCGTGCGTCAACGTCGATACCGCCCTTCCGTTCCCGTGAGACGTACAAGGCACGACCTATGTACCCAACCAGCTCTGCCTCATCTCTTCTCTCTCTCCGATGTGCGCATCTGTGCGTGCGCCTCTTGGAAACGTGGCAGGGGGCAAGGAGGAGGCGGCGAGGACGCCAACGGCGGCGGGGGCGGGGGCAGCACCGGCAAGAAGTCGACCGGGGGCAAATCGAGGACGCAGGGAGAGGCCTTCAAGAGGGTCCAGGACGAGCAGTGGGTGGGTGGGCTCAAGAAGGGGTTCGACGACAATACATACGAGGTGTGCATGCATGGTTTTGTGCTGTGTTTCGTTTTGCCTTGAACAACAGTGGGTGGGGGAGGGGGGGGGGGGGGGGGGGGGGGGGGCCT